TGAATGCCTCCGATCTTTTCTTGTCTTTTTTGTTTTTCAATGACTCCGATCTTGTCGTTTGTTGTTCTCATTATTCCTACTAAATAAAGGGAAATTTTCCGAAATGCCCCTCAGACTTGCACATTTATTTGCGGCATGCCCCTCCGACGGCCGACTTAACCTGTCGTGCCCCTGCGGCCTCTGAAGTTTCTTGCAGGCCCCTGTCAGTGAGGGGTGCAACTTTCCAGCATGCCCCTGTGGCCGTTGGTGGCACTTGCGGCCTTTCCCCAGGTCCTGGGAGCAGTGGGAGGAGAGCTACCGGGGCATACTGCAAATTTGGAACCGGTACCGGTAGGGGCATATTGCATACTATTCAGGCCAAACGATGCCAGGGGTTTTTCGGAAATTTCAATCGTTGTCAAGGGGCAGGAAAGGGTAAGTCGGCCGTCAGAGGGGTATACTGCAAATAAATGGAAGCCGGAGGGGCATTTCGAAAATTTCCCTAAATAATTACCTCCCCCCCCCCCCCGCTTGCTGCCATCAGGCATTTCGTCCGAACGAACGAACTCCCAAGCGTCACCCAACTGAGAACGTTGGTGGGTCTTTTCCATTAAAAAAAAAAGGTAAAAAAAAATTTTGTTTGACGGCGAGGTCACAGAGATATAGGGCCTCGCCGCACTACTCAACAAATGTACAAAATGACAAATGAATCTTCCGCTGGACAGATGCACCTCCATCACCTTTGTCTTTTGTGCATTTGGTGATTAGTGCAGCGAGGCCCGTACACTAACCGCCGCTCTTCAGTATCCATGCACAGTATCTCTTTCTTCTTCTTCTTCTTTTTCTTCTTCTTCTTCTTCTTCTTCTTCTTTTTTTTTTTTTTTTTTTTTTTCAATGGACCTCGGCCCGGCCAGGGCGAAGACAAACCACCTAACGGAAAAACGAGCATAAAAACCAAAACAAGAACCCCCACTACGATTCCTTCAGCACAGCCGTCAAACTTGGAGCGACAAAAAAAAAATAAAAAATAAATAAAAAATAAAAAATGGAGCGATACCAACGGCTCCAGCTCAGCTGGTCCACACCCATGAACTATTGGAAAATACTCCACCTGGGGCTAGGTCCCACTTACACGAATTAAGCGATATTGACCGTAGATTGCAAAGATCAACGGCCAGAATCTCTTAATAAGTGCAAGTGGGACCTTGCCCCCGTGTTCTAATCCAAAAGCAATCAAGTGAACAGAATAAACTAACTCTGAATTACCTGGGCTGGTCAGTTCAATTGTGTGAGATACGTCAAGGGCACAGAGGATTGGAATAAGCGTCGGAATCTGGACGTGTTTGTGGAGAGGTGCAAGAAGTTGTGAGTGATCTGACTTTCTGCATCTCTGTGTGGAACACGTCCAGATTCATACACTTATTCCGATCCTCTTTGCCAGTGGGATCTGGCCCTTGACATTTCTCCCAATTTAAAACACAAGGAAGGGCCATTTGCTAATTACCCTTCTCTGTATCTCTCATTCTCACTTCTTTTTTTTTTTTTTGCTTTCCGTGAAAACACATTCTCGATTTATGCGTGCCTTCCTTGACAGCGCAGGGGCAATTTGCTAATCTACCCTTCTCTGTATCGTTCCAATTTTAACGGATGTCCCGAAGGACTGAAAACACATTCTCACATGTGGAGAAGAGCAGAGAGCGGGCACTACGTAAATCGCTACGCAATCTGAAACCAATCCCAAAAAAAAAAAAAAAAAAAAAAAAAAAAAAAAAAAAAAAAAAAAAAAAAAAAAAAAAAAAAAAAAAAAAAAAAAAAAAGGC